CTAGTGGCCTCCACAGTTCACGGCAAATGTAGTTGTCTAAAACGGTCTGAATGTACCGAGTGTTTAACCTTCTTATTTCAGCTTTAAAGGCCAAGGACAGCCGTTTAACATGGGCGGTTAGCTTATGTTTATAAGCCTGTTCTTTCTTTCTCCGCAGTTGCTCGAGCACTGGAGATGAAAATCTGTCATTTCACAACTAAATTAACTAAACTAAATTTTTTTGGTGGACTCTCACGCCGCGACCTAAAGTCCATAGACAACGCGAATAGGATTTACCACAACAGCCTTCGTATACTTTGGGCGCTCAGACGTAGCTTCAGCACTTGGTCAGGAGAGATTGCCTCTCGCCTCTTCGTCTCAATAATACGACCAATGTTAGAGTATGGCTCTCCGGCGTACTGTCCTATTACCCGGGGCGAGGTAGAGAAGATTGAGCGAGTGCAGCATGTAGCCACCAGGCTGATTCCCAACTTACGAGGTGTGCCGTACAAAGACCGGTGTAAGAAACTAGGGCTGTACACCCTAGCTTATCGTCGACTGAGGGTTGACCTCATCATGAAGCACCGGATATTGCATCTGGGATATTACCCCATGTTGAGACAACTGCTTCATCTGCGCACACCAAGCAGCACACGAGGACACCGGTATAAGCTTGTCGTACCGGATTTGAAGCGGGTCGCTCACCAATTCTGTTTTGAACGCAGTGGTGAATGTATGGAACGACCTGCCGCAGCACGTAGTTGAGGTAAAGTGAGTGTCGGAATTTAAGGAGATCCTTGACAAACACTTTGCCGACGCAAAATATATTGAGCGGAACACAACATGACGGGTATTCGTCCACGAGTGACGATTGATGCAGCTACACAGAGCATACTCTACTTGCTGCTTCTAACCAGTATTCAGTATTCAATGCGACAACCCAGATCAAAACAAACTTTATATAATCTGTGAGGTGCTTGCATTTGGTTGATAACTTTTCATTTGTGAACATTGAAATGTCACTTGAACAAAGTGTTTCTTTGCGTTTTTCTATGTTATCTGCTGAGCAGTCCCGTCGTTTAACACTTCTGGATTGTCTATTTGTCGGTACAACATCACTGACCTTACTGTATAACTTGGGGCATGGCTTTACTGTGCTGTGGTTGGAATTAAAGAGAGGTGCACGCTTATGTGTAGAAAATAGTTAGAGTTTATCGATAAAGACTAAATTTAGATGTGCCTTGAGTCTGGTGGAGAATTTCATCAAATTGGCTAAACCCATGGTATTACTAAAATTGGTGTCACTCTTATTGACGTCGCCGGCGAGAACATAGATAGAACATTCTAACTTTGGTTACAACTATAAAGCAAGGTGGTCTGGAAACTTTTTCAGCTCGAACAGCGCTGTGTCCGGAGCTAGATACACGTTTCTAACTACAAAATTTAGGAAGCCGCTCAAAAACTTTGGTTTAAACAGGTGACAGCCCACTGAAGTCGTTAGGTACTCCGAGAGAACCTAAACGACTTTGCATCAATCTTTGTTGTTGTCTTGGGGTCTTGTGGACGGTCAAGTCTAATGAGATTAACGACTTCATCGTCAATGTTAGGAAGCAACCAATTATACCTGCAATTATAACTTCCCTTGGCTGCATATGGTTTGTGAGATAATCACTTTCCCCGAGAAGTGATCATAAATTGCTGGACAGGGTCAGAGGAATTTGCGCTTTGTTAACGGGACAACGCTTGATTCCTACTTGCCAGCCAGCACGATGCTTTTTATCTTTTCATAAGCCTTTCTTGATAATTCTTTTGAAAGTGTTTCGGATCTCGTGGTAGTACTCAACTAGAGGCGATTTTCGCACATTGTCTCAAAGTAAATCTACCGAGTACGACACTAGTGACTATGGAATTGATTCACTTAAACGGAGGATAGAATAGTTTCTGTAAGCACAAGGAACCCGCAGCGATTAGTGTAAAATAATGTCCCGATGGCAACAGCAACGGCCGAATTTAAAGGCCCCGCCAAGTCAGCCTAAGCTATGTTTATGCAACTGTCACAGAAGAAACACATGATCTGCACGACCTCATTCTGGTTGAAGGTCTACCTGTTTATCTCTCATCTGAGATTCCATTTTCGCGGTATGACAAGGGGGTTTAAGCGAACGCCGTGTCATCGATTCACCGAATTTTAATTTCTCAGCTCACAGCTGTGTGCGGTGTTGATCAACCATCGACAAGAGGAATGTACGTGTCACCCAGCTTGTCACCAGTTCAGAACCGCTCGAGCGGACGCGTGCGACATAGTGCGCATCTTGGAGTGTAAGAAATCAGACACCATTGCTCTTTGTTTCGTTGTTTTGGCTTCATTGATTAATATTCCAGATGGAATCTTCTATGCACCTACTTGCTTCAACTCCGGTAACCTTCTGTTATTCTACCTTAGGTTAGCTTCTCACTTCACTGTCACATCTATGCCTGGTGAAGTTAGCACTCATCCACCTCGAACCTTAGACCATTCTGCATCGGTCACACAAACGACTCTCTTGTTGGTAAACAATGATATGGTTTATGCTACTCGTGGCCGAGTCAACGCAGTTTGTTTGTCCTTGTTTATTGATGTAACTAATCAACCTTGCTATCGCCGCCTAGTAGACCTGACGATGACCAGGTATCTGAAGGTGTTTTGGATCTTCATACCGAATGGGCCGCTTTTTGCTTTTACCAAACAGAAAGATCACACTGGTGCTGTAGGCACCACTTTTAAATCCAAGGGATCCCCCTTTCTGCTACCAAAAGTATTGCAAGCTCCCAAAGGCAGTTCTGGTCTTTGTCGTTTGTGCATTAGCTGTAGCCGCTACTGCACATGTGACTGTCGTTTGCAACCAGCGACAAAACAGCTACTACTGAAGCAGTTCGTCAGTCCTGTGTACCGATCTTCACCACCGTACGACCCATTGGAACCTTGTTAAGGAAGAGTCATAGGAGGATGGGATGAACGGGACTTGCTGTAAAACCTAAATGCTCTGATCAGACATTCAGGATCAAGACGCCTGCATCTTGACAATAACATACGGTCGAAACTACTAGCAGGTCGTTTTTTCTTAGTATTACGCACATATGTCGTATCTCTACCGCATCCTCTCTGGTAGTGTTACCTTCCTCTTTCTTCGTTCGTTGTTGTTAAGGGTTCTCTGGACCCATGCATTGTCCGGGTTAGCACACGCGAAGAGCAACTCCTTGTTCCTCATTTAGCGCCTCTGTTTTGTCAAACGCCGGACGAAATATCCGTCTAGTTCAGGGGTCACCAAACTACAGTCTGCGGGCCTAATCCGGCCCGCGGGCTGCGCCCAGATTTTCTTGGTAATTTGTAAGGAACACGTGACGCTGTGATAGAATTTACATTCGACACTGCATGTCACATTGTCATTACCTTAGACTTTTTGATCACTAGCTTGAGCCATCTCAGGGTTGTTACTTGTGAGACCGTACTAATGTACTACTAGTGACCCCACATCATTGGAACATGTATTTGGGTTAGCCCGCGTGCATGTCATTAATCCGTGCACTCTATTGGGTTTCTACTTACTTCACACCTTCGCTTCACAATATTGTTATTGGCCCTTTCATTTGAAGCACGCATCATACGGAATGCCAATAGTTTATGCATTTGTCAATTTGGGGACATAATTGGAAGGAATTGCCGGTTGATAGTACGGAATTGGCCTGGAGTCGCAATTTGTTGTGGTTTATACCTTTTGGGGTTGATAAATTCATGTCGAACCAATGTCCCCCACTCCTCTGTTTTTCCGATGTTTCAGTTGAATTTTTACCATATTTGCAACTTGTCTTTTTCTTGCTCAAATCTCACTTATCTAAGCCTGTACTGAACATATTGAGAAAAGAAAGCGGACAGCATGTCGCATTTTCGTTGTCTTTTTACCCAGAGTTTTCGTTCTGGCTCCCAAGTAATGAACCTAAAGATTATGGGGCCAACGCTAACTATTTTATTAGTTATCCGACCGGCGCCAGTCAATTTTTCTGGTTAACTGGCCCCCATTGAAGAAACTTTGGTGACCCCTGATCTAGTTAACCAATCAAGCTCACGGTGAACTGCTATATCGAGACTAGGCTAGCGGCTGAAGAATCTGGATGGTCTAACTGGAGTTCATCCCAAATGTGTAACAAGTCGAATAGTCATGAACATCTGGACAACCGTTTCAAAACTTGTTTTTGACTTCGTCATCTGTGTTGCTCATTATCCTCAATTCGACGACATTCGCGTCTTTTACCCGCAAGAGCTTAATATGCCTTTGATTCACTATAGACCTTCGTAACACGCAGCTCACTCTCCACTGCACAGTAGACTCCTTGAGCAACTGCTCCCTAGGCTTTGACTGCCAAGTTAAACTTTGGCATTACAAACAATTTACTAGAAGCGTTGATGGCACAAGGGTGGGTTGGCAGTAAAACACGCGTCCAAGAAGAGTGAGTCTCACTATACCACCGCCAGTTATCCGGTCCCACTAGCTACATATGTCCACCACGACCCAGGGGTTTAAGGCTTTTCTTGCAGTACATAGATGACGATTCGACGCCCCAGTCCTACGCTGTTCAGGTTAGTGGAATGCTGACAAACCTGGAAGCGATGGAATCGCTATCCAGCGTTCTCGCGGACTTCAGTAGTCGCCTTATTGAGTCTCATTGCGATAAAAGACAGATTGGAGGTACCGGCGGTGCACCAATACTTTGTTTGAATGTTCTGTTGCCGTGTAAGAGCTGAAATATAGGCTCCGGGCATTTAGTCTGCAATTCTCACTGAAGTTCTGTATCAACTTAAGTGTCTACTTCCTCGTCACTGTTTCCCTCCTAGCCGTTGCGGATTGACGGGAGAGAGCATAGTGTGAACCTAGACTGCTGTCATCCGCGCCGTTGACGGCAACGATTATGTCGTGTTTACCGTGGATGCTTTTGTCACGCCAACTACTCTCCCGTCTTTATTTGTTTTCTCTCTGCTCATCCAGATAATGCAGGCCGTATACGGTGGAATCGCTGCGCTGGTTTTCGCCCTCGTGAGTTTGGTGTATTTTCCAACGTTTTTCTCCCTTTCTTTGCACTGCTTTGCGATCCGGTTAGTTGATTTTAATTTAACATCCATGCTGCCGGTGCCACGAAGCATTGTGTCTAATCGCCTTCACTCGTATCTCACCATAGTATCGGTTTTTTCTCACTTATACTTCCGTTGGAGATAACCGTAGCTGGGCATCGAACCCAGCACGTAATTGCTGACAGTCGATGCCTTAGTCACTAGGTCGTTGAGCTCCACGATCAACGCTTACTGCAACTTCGTAGGAAATACGTGGTGCAGCCACATGATCCATTGAAGTACTATCATTAAATTCAGCAGGAATTACGGTCAACAATGACGGACAAAAGACCGGATACGGTCATGTCATGAATACATCAGTTTGGTTCAGTTTATAAATTGAAATCCGCACAGCGATTTGCGAGTGGATCCAGTTACCCTGACAGATATCCCCATAATAATAATAATAATAATAATAAATGATAAAGTACGAAGGAATAAGCACGAAATAAAGTCGTCGGCGGGGTTGGTTACGGGTCAGAAATAAGGCGACGAATTCAGGAGGTTCAGCGACTTCTTGACCTGCCATATGCGACACGATATCTTGTCACCGGTTTGACCAACCCATCGATCGTCATCCGAGAAGACTAAAAGCCCCAACCCGATTCAGCCCTTCTGTGAATTTCTTCATAGTCACTCACCATGTTACCTACTGACCATCTCCTTGGTTTCACCGTACTTAGCGTTGCTTTAGCAAGCTGCAAGCGTCGGAGTATCCGGCTCCCTGACATAATCGAGCCAACTAAGGCTAATTGAATTCAGCATACACGCCTTACACTAGATGACGAACTGTGGCGTTATTATTGGGTCTTTGATTACTCATTGTCTCTTGAATTGGGACGCAGTCTCATTTGTTGCTTCGGTTGACTTTGACGTCAATCTCTGCCGTTCAGATCACTGGGACCGTCTCCGAAGTGAAGGTTTCCGATGTTGCTCTCTTCTATATCTGCATTCCACGATTGACGCTTTCGTTCTTATTTGGGCTCATCAGGTAGAGATAGCCTGAGCTGGGAGTGGAACTCGGCACATAGTGGTTGGCGGCTGTCGTCATGATCACTGGACTATTGAGCTCCGCGAGCGGCGCTTGGCAAAGCGGTTAGCTGTTTAGTGTTGGGTTTGGATTGCGGCATGCAATCTTAGTTGTGGCCACGATTTTAGTTTGAGGCAAACCTCTGCCATCTCGATCACTGAGACCGCATCCGGGGTGGAAAGTTTCCGTGCTGCTGCAGTGTTGTGAAAGATAAACGCGGAAATTCTCCAATTGTAGTGATTCTCTTTCAGATACGATCAACACTGTGCATGGATCGATGGTTTGAATGGCCAGTCTCTTGATCCCCTCAGCGCTATTCGACTAGGTCTCTAGTTTGTGGAATAACACTGACCGCACCGCAACGTGTTCACACCGGCTGCGCGGCGCGTCTAGCTACTTATACAGCGCATCGAGAAACGTTTGTTTTAAGCCAAAGCACCCACCCACGGTTCGATATTTCAGACAACTTCGCAACCTCGTTTTACTCAGTTATTGTTTGGTGGCGTCTCAAGTCCCTCTTCTCCCCTCAATCTGAGGCTGAAAGGACCTTAATGTCTTGCTGTGACCTTTCTATACCTTCGTCACCCACCGAGGTAGGCTGTTTGATAGTCCCCCTAGTCCATTTGAACCACTCCAGCTGATTGGTGTTCTGGATTACTTGTTCACATCTAGAGTGCTACTGTCGCGCTTCCCACCACTCCTCCGAACCAACGTACATGACAATCGATCCTCAACCTTTTCAAGAGACATCAGCGGACAGTGGCAATAATTGTCCTACGGCGTGAATCGCACACGAAAATTGCAAATTTTCTCCAAATGTAAGGAAAACTAAATGCCCCACTTCGCATGTGGTCCCAGGGAACGGAATAGATTAGGTTTGCTTCAAAGCAAACCGTAGCTTCAATCCACATTGCGTATCGCAATCCAGACACACGGCGGGTACTCCAAGACCCAATAACGAATTTCTGACCGTTGTGTCAAACGCTGCTGTGGAGCTTTGGTCTAATGACCAAGAAAAAAGTCGTCAATCAGTGTCGGACTCCCCTCACAGCTCAAACTACCTCTGCCTGACGAGTTCAAATCAGGAGGAAACCAGTCAGTCGTGGAATCCAGTGTTAGGAGAGAGCGACTCCGAATATTTTACCAAAGCAAGAACAACGAACATTTCTGCGGAATATTCTGCATTCAGTATACTTCCTGTATTCTCTTCAGCCGCTTACATTCAACGATTGAGACTAATAGGTCAATACCGGACATTGATGATTAGTTGCGTTGGTTAGCCTGTCTCGCCACACCAAGGCAAAGCAAGACTGGTCACCAATTCAAGTTGTTTACATAGGTTAGACTTCAAACGCCGGATGCGGAAGCCTCAGCAAAACGCAACAACAGGCGTTTCCGCTGTTGCTTACGTCATGCCATAAAGAGGTGTTACTATACAGCTGAGCTTGTGTTGCTCCACAGAACCAAAAAGCTACCACATGAATCCAATTTGGACAAGCCTCACTCTACTGTCACCGCCTCATGTGTTTACCAGTTTAACGGTACTTGCGGTAGCATATACATTGGCCGGACGGAGAGGAGGTTGTCCACCCGGATTTCAGAACACGTCCCGCGAAACCTTGCTCTCCATGGCGCAACATTACCTGCCAGCTCCGTTGCCCGGCACTTATTCGACTGCTCGATGTGCCAGAATCCCCACGAAGCATTCAAGGTCATCAACAGACAGAGCAACCCCAAGTTGTTGCGTTTTGCTGAGGCTTCCGCCATCCGGCGTTTGAAGCCTAACCTATGCAAACAACTTGAGTTTGTGGCCAATCTTGCTTTGCCTTGGTGAGGCAAGACAGGCTAACCAACGCAACTAACCATCGATTTCTGGTATTGACCTATTACTCCCAATCGTTTGAAATTTTCACCCATTGTATGTGAGCGGCTGAGGAGAATACAGGGAATATACTGAATTCAGAATATTTCGCAGAAATGTTCGTTTTTCTTGCTCTGTTAACATTTTTGAAGGGAAATGGTTGTATGACATTTTTAAAGGAATAACTCCGAAATTCTCCAATACCGTATGCTGTTGTGCAAATATCAGCCGTGTACAACTGCAGCGCACAGCTTAGTGCAGCTTGTGTTTGCGCTCTATCATTACTAACTTATCATTCAGCTGCTTCTGTCCCCTTTGGTTCGGTGACCGTACTCACTCATCGGTAAGCGTTGCGGTATGGAATCACGTGTCACTGGCGAATATAACGGCTGCTCATTGCCTTTATCTATCTACGTTGGCAGTCTAGCTGGGTCTAATTGTGATTAACTCTGTCTACTTTCGTGTGTTACCATTTCCCTATATTTTTCTTCTTAATCTTTGTATGGTACCCATGTTATTCCGCAATTTTTGCCAACGATCCCCCTCACAGCGGCGCAGGCCATGATAACAGCACTTATCAGATTCCGATGATTAGCAACAACAACAACAACGACGATAACAACATAGACACGCCTGGTTGAGGCTCGAATCTGGCCGTATCTACTTGAACATTCTAAGTACGGACGAGGCTGTTGACGAATTGCAATGTTGTTAGCGGTCTTAGTGATCTGTACGGGGTAGGATTTCGCTTTGGTAAATGATGGTCCAGATTGAGGTTGCCTGTAGCGATCTGTCCACACAACAGCTAGTCCAGTAAGCCGACAATGAGTTGTTTGTACCTCACTTGACTCGATTTTGGAACTCTTTGGTCACACATGACTGCGTATGACGATTGAACTTTGCACTGCACAAATGTGTATGTCCTCGGTCCGTCGCAATGAGACTGGACCTTAACGTGGTGCGACGGTTTGCGTACCTCCTTAACCCATTGAGCTATACTGGGTGGTGCCTCCTGGCGCCTTGGGAGCTACTCCTATCAGGTTGGTCAATGGTTAGATGTCAGAGGAACACAAGCTCCTGGTCCTCCAGGTTGAAGATCTGAAATGGGATGGTGTCCATTTCTGCAAAACTAAATCACTGCCATCTCCTAGCTGCCTTGCGGACAAGCTTCCGACCCAAAGGCTTTGGTTGAGGATCCTAATCGTCCTCCTGTCTAGGTATGGGCACCCTGACAGTATCTCAGTCCACATACAACCACGACGATCTCCCCAAAATCTAGCTGCATCCTGTATCGGCCGTCGCTCAGGTAATCAAGGATCGCCTTATCTGCTGCATACAGCAAGGCGGATAAGCGAAAGCATACTACTGCTGGCGCCTCCCTTCTTTCTTTTCCACCTGTTTCTCTTACTCCTATCCCGACCCCCCATTACTTCTATAATTCCCAGCCTAATTGACAGCAACCAAAGTGTCACTGGAGTAGAACCATCTGCAGCCATCTTCCCACAACACCCATCGGACGCCTATCGACAACAGTCCCTTATAAGGCCACGCTGTCCCGTTTCTCTGGCGGCGTTCAACGTTCGCACTCTAAGACAAACAGGTCAACAGGCTGCACTCGCACGCACCTTGGACACACTGGGTATTGATGTGTGTTGTGTGTCCGAAAGTAGGAGCAATGACCCTAATGGGATTGTTGCATTAACTGCACCCGGCTTATCCTCTCGTTATTGGTTGCACGCATCCGGAGACGCCGATGCAGCACTCACGGGTCAAGCTGGTTTATGTATCATTTTAAGCTCCAAGGCTGAGCCATTGTTGGTTGATTGGATTCCGGTGGACAACCGTTTATGTGCAGCCCCTTTGAAGACATCAGCTAAGGTTGATTCACGAAGTAGTACAATGCGCTGCTTGTTTCTGATTTCCCCTTATGTTCCCACCGACTGAAGTTCAGATGTTGTCAAAGTCACATTCTATCACGAACTGAACGCGCTACTACGCGGGGCTACTAGTTCAGATATTATATTACTTGCAGGGGATATGAACGCACAAGTAGGGTGTCTGAGCTGTTCAGAAGCTCAGCTGGGTGGTAATTATGGGCTTAACTCCGAACGGACTGACAACGGCGAGCGTCTTTTGCAACTGTGTGCGGAGCACCAGTTGATTCTTTGTAGCACTGCTTTTAGGCACAGTGGGCGCCGAAGTGCCACTTGGCGTCCTCCTGTAGCTGGCCAGCGATGGACCCAAATTGACCCCATTGCTACAAGTTACAGGTGGCGTGGTTTCATCCTGATTTGCCGTTCGCACTAGAGTACCTGCGTTGACTTTGATCATGCCTTGGTGCGCCATCGGTTCTCCATGAACTTTACCGGGAGGTGCACCAAGCGTCTTCTCCGATTGGCAACTGCGAACTTGTCTCAGCCCTCGGTCAGGCAAGCCTATGAAGAAGCACTGCGTACCGAATTTTCGCTGTCTTGTCCTAATGACACTGAGCTTCAGTGGAATAGAATCTCGGCCGCCATACACGACGCAGGAGCATCTGCTTGTGGCACTATCAACGGTCACCGCACCAGCCATTGGATATCCGAGAGGTCGGTGAACCCGTTGGAATCCAGAAGAAACCTCCCGGCTGACTCTAAGCACGATGTGACCAGACGGGCTATTAGGCGCGAATTAAAGCGGAGCCTACGTGCTGACAAGAAAGCTTGGTGAATCAGGAGGGCTCAAGAAATGGAGGAGGCAGGAGAAGTAGGCAATTACCGCAAGCTCTTCCAGCTGATCCGCACCACTGGTCGCAAGAAACCAGGCGTCAGTGAGAATCAGAGACAGCGCGGGTGCACTGGTGCACAACGAGGAGCGCCGGATGGCTTGTTGGGAGGAACCCTTTCGAGATCAGTTCAGTTTGCCCCCTGCTCCCGGACCTCTTCCTACTCAGTTGATGCAGGACGAGCCATTGACGATTAGTTTAGATCCTCCGTCGGAGGCCGAGATCCGAAACCGGATCACAGCCGTCAATCGTTTTCATGCCGCTGACCTGGATTCGCTCTCATCTGCACTATTTAAGGATGGAGGTGAGGTCCTCTGCAATGCACTGACCTCCCTATTCGAACGTATCTGGAAGGAAGAGAGTATCCCGATTAACGCGAGCGAATTGATTATATTGGCAATATACAAGAAGGGCAGTCGCACAGACTGTTCTAACCACCAGGGTATTCGCCTAACGCCAGTTGTGAAAAAATTGCTGGCCTCGGTTATCGTTCGTCGCCTCACTGTTGAACGTGAATCTCGGATTAGAGAAGAGGAGACAGGTTTCCGCCCAGGACGTGGCTGTATAGACCATATATTCACTCTGCGGCAGGTGCTAGAGCAGCACCACGCATACCGCAGACCGACAATAGCTGTGTTCCTCGGTTTCATGAGCGCGTTCGATGCAGTCGATCGATGCATTCTGTTCGAAATACTTGCGCGGAAAGGCGTTCGCACGAAATATGTGAACATCCTTCGTGCTCTATACTCGAACACTACGGGTCGCATTGGGGTCTATGGTGTCCTGTCGGATAGCTTTCCGACCACAAGTGGCGTTCGTCAGGATTGTCCTATTTCTCCATTTTTGTCCAATTTTGTCGTGGATTCTATCATGGAGTGTTCCCTTGCGGAATCGTATGATGTAGGCGTTGAAGTGCTGCCTGGTGGAAGGTTAGTTGGCCTAGATTATTCGGACGATATCGTGTTGCTTTTCGACGATGTTGCGGTGGCACAATCAAGCCCTGAATAGCCTGTCTAAAGTGGTCCCGTTATTTGGTATTCGCTTCGCACCTTCAAAGTGCAAAGTGTTGCTGCAGGACCACCATTCACTTTATGACCCCTTGACCTTTGCTAACGATGAATTCGAGGTGGTTGACCAATTCATTTACCGTGGCAGCTGTATCAGCAATGATGGGCGCATAGTAACTGAAGTCAATTCACGCATTGCAAAAGCCAGAACCGCCTTCTTGAACCTGCGGCATCTTTGGCGACAGAAGGGAGTTTCCCTCCGTCTGAAAGACCGTGTATAAAAGGCCACAGTGAGGGCCGTTCTGCTCTATAGTAGTGAAACTTGACTCTTTCGGTCTGAAGATCTGAGGCGCCTTCAAGTCTTTGATCATCGTTGTTTGCGAAGCATTGCTTTTGTCGGATGGCACCGGCCTGTCCGTAACGATAATGTGCGTAGGCGAGTACCAGGTAGTGTTAATCATGCTAGCTCCCTAGAACAGCAACAGATAGCGCTGAATAAGTTGCGTGAGCTAGAGCACGTGCTACGTATACCTGGTCACCGTTTACCTAGGAGGGCTTTGTTTAGTCTGCCAGGTGTAGGGTGGCGCAAGGCTCGAGGTGGACAGAAGTTGACTTGGCAGCGGGAAATGAAGTCACTGACGACCAAACTGGGTGCTGTTGGTCCGTCTCGCCTTCCGGGCTGGAGTCAACGTGACTCGCCTTGTGTTTGGCTCGAGACTTTACAGGACGTGGCTCGTAACCGATACTAGTGGCGCGTCTGCTGCCGTCTTCTAATCAGATTGCCTGTTTAAAGTGTGTTTGGTGATAGGTTATCTGGGGAGTAATGGCTGATTATGACGCGGGGTAGTGAAAGCCGCAAGGAAGCGGTCTCGTCGATGCCGCCTTATCTCTGCACGATAGCCAGCTGTTTGTGACGGTATGTTGTCTACACAAGGTGTAAGCGCCTTGACTGTGAGTGTTTGCTTAGGACACTAAGGTTTTCAACTAAGTCTCCCTTCTCTCGTTATTCTTCGTTCCGTAAGTCGTTATGGTTGTATGGCAGCAAAGCATCAGCTCAACTGGCTCATGTACTGCTGTTATTGATGCTGATTATGGTTGATGCCTTACGATAAATGTTGTGGCCACCGTGGTTATTGCTATTTCAAGCCGTTTTTGGCATTGTTTACTTGCTTCACCACGCTGATACTCGGTAGTGTGTTCAGCTCACTGAGAGTGATCGACTGTCGTGCATATTACACGGGGAGTAATCCAAATTTGTGAAACAATGGAGGTTAGTACCTGTGAAACACCCGGGGCCGACGTTGATTGAACAAGCCCCCCGGGGTGTCGTTGTGGTTAACCACTCCTGAGACGTCGCGCAATGCCTCACCCACCATTTCCTTTTGCTGATATCGGTAATCCTCTCTAGATCCCCGAAAAGCCACCGTTGTTTTGCTCTCGAGATTTCCCCATCACTTGTTGTGCTGCACTATGGTGACGAAATTTATTTTGTACTTTACCGATTGTCTGTTTCGCTCACCCATACTGCATCGCTTATTAATATCCTGTGGTGCCCCACCTTTTCGATGCCGCTGGAATATCCTTCCATACCACTTTTAGTGACTACTGGAACGCAGTGTGATAAACTGATCGACCAGGCAGAGTTGGGATGTGCATCACTTTCTTCGTTTGGTAACCGTCATCTGACTGTAGTGTTTTGTTTTACCTACTCGTCGCTCCCCCTTCTCCGTACACACCGTTCATCTGCGTGATCCTATCTTCTTCCAACAAAGTGCAAGTTTCCTCAGCTGTTCGGCTGGGAGCGCTCATTTGACCTACACCAACTCCAACCCCTTCGCTCAGAAATGCACGCACGAGACTAGGGCCCAGTTCAGGAGCCACAAACCCACGTGTTCCGAGCGGGCGCTGAATTGGGACATCTTGTTAGATGAGCTCTGCAGCAAGGCAGCGCATGATGCTGAACACACCATGGATTATGTCGATGGCCTTGTGAATGGCCCAGACAAGTTTTCGTGACACAGATTAACTTGCTCGTAGGGTTGACTCACAGTCTGTGTGT